TTAGGTTATCTCCCACAGGTCTTCTCCGACGAGGTGCCTCTAGCAACGCGGCTTCCGCGAACCACTTGCGCACTAGATGGCAAAACAAACTCTATTTAAACTTTAACTATCAACAACTTCATCTTAGGCCTATTCTTCATGATCTTCAGGTTCTTGTAATATCTTGATCTCTGAATGTTCGAATTCTTCGGTCTCTGTTACCTCGTGATTACACACCACCTGGATGACTTGGTTTTTGTATACTTGGGTCGTCACATCATCGATCAGCTTGAGCACACACACTCCTTGAATTGGCAGCATCAGCCGACTCTTCACACGGGTCTCATCCCCTCTTCAGTATGGGTTTCAGGTAGTCTGACGCCGGTCCAGCTCGACCTTTGTCGGCACTGGCGTATGTCATGTCGAGCATCTTGGGCCACCACATCATCAGTTGAATAGTCCACCTCCACATTCAGGTTGTATTCCATTCGGGTTGTACGTAATGTCTCCATTCAGGTTGCACGTGATATCCATTCGGGTGGTAAGCAATGTCTCCATTTAGGTTGCACGTGATATTCATTCGGGTTGTAGGCGATATCCGGGACATACATGGTATCTCCATTCAGGTTGCACGCGGAATCCGGGATGTACTCCCACAATTCAGGATGTCTGTTGACCAGGGGCCTCATTCTACCTTCCCAGTTCTGGCTCTCCAGTCAGGGCAGCTGCGGAGGCCACCTGAATTTCAGGTTGCATCGTCACAAAATACATGAAATTTATTAATGTGTGCATCAACTATGACATTGTACAGACAATATTGGATTCGACGATCTGCAAAAAAGCAAAACTATACCAAGTTGATTTTCACGTTTTGATGTAAAACCAGGACGGTTCGGAATAAGGTCTTGTGTTTAGCTTGGTAGAAAAAGTCGGTTCATACCTTGTTTTTGCTAAACTCTGTAAAATGAATGATTTTATGCTGCCGATACCACAATAGGGTTCATCCAAGTACAGCCTTACATGGTCATCAGCCCTGTTCGTAAAACGTTTCGTGATCCCCACGGGCCACCACCTCCCCACACACAGGCTCAAGTCACTGCTGCTGCTCTCGTCCTCCGCCGCGGGGCCATCACCTCCCCACGGACGCACGTGCTCAAGCCAATGCTGCTGGTGTGTGGACAAACTGAATATTTGTAGGCTTCAATGTCGTCGTTTGTGTAATGTACTTTTAGTATCTAATAAATTGACGTTGGTAGGATGTTCGATAGGATGACCGATAGGTTATGTCAGAAATCCGAACCTGCGCGGTATGGATGAATATACACGTCTTTCCGACAGATAGATCAATATGATTGTTTTGAATCCAACTGCTTGTGAATACTAACCAATAGTAGTGCTCTAAACCAATATTTTAGCCAATTACATTCGTTACGGGTAGGTGTATGACTTTCTACACATTCCGATAAATATTTGTCGGAATCTTGATGCAAATATGAATATATCTAAACAAAAGTCAAGTATAAAAATATTTGTCAAATATTTAACTAATTCAGACAACAAGGTAAATTCCTAGATTAGGACAACCAAGGGAGACATTAGCCAGCCGCTAATTTACTAGTTTAGTTAACAGAATTCAGAAGCAAACGTCATCGCAGCTTTTGAACGAATACTAGAGCAGGAGAATGTTAGCATGGAATTTGTCCAGGCTAGCATTCTTCAAGACAACTCTGATGCTATTCCGACACGAAATTGAGCGGAAGGTTGATACGTGCCGCGTCAAAGAAGATCAGCGTCATCGCGATGAAAACACAGCGAGGAAGGTCCGTATGCTTGCTGGAAAATCCGAGTCGGGAGAGCGTCGACGCCAAGAAATGCTTAAATAGACGAACGCATTCGTCGTGACAAGGAAGACTCCCGGGCGCGTAAGGAAGAGATGATGCTGCTAATTAGAGCCATCATTAAAAAGGAGTAATTACTATTGGAAGTTGACTTGGAGGAAGGTGAGTTGCTGTCGAGGCTCTGCTCAAGATGACAAATTGAAAAGTGATTAAGGGAGCCTACAAAAAGTAACTAACAACACTTCATGTACTACCAGGTGCCTCATAGCCACCACGCCAAGCACGCTCCCTTCTCCGCTGGACCGGACGAGCACGGCACAATTCTACAATGTACCTGCTTCAACTTGCCTATCACGCTGTCATCTTGCGAAGTCTTAGTCGTCGATGCCTCTGTCATCACAATTCGGTTTACTCACTCGGGTTCGACGCTCCGCTCTGATCCAACACTCCCACTTGGCGAACTCCGAGTTCGTCACGAAAAAGGTTGAACTTGATGACCCCAAGCGCCTTGGTAAAATGATCAGCGATCTTTTCTGAGTTAGGGTAGTAGCTGATGTGCACGTCGCCCTCCTTCACGTTCTGCCGGATACAGTGATACTTGGTGTCGATGTGGCGTGAGCGCTGCGTGACAGCCTTGCTTTCAGCCAGATGCTGAGCTACTTGATTGTCCTCGAACACAGTGATATGGTCAACTTCCATTCCCAAATCCTTCAAGACCAGGTTGATCCCAATAGACTCCTGAACACCGCTCCCCATTGCGATTTATTCCGCCTCGGTGGAAGACAGCGTGACCATCGACTGCTTCTCCGACTCCCATTCAATCAGACAGCCATTGTAAAAAAATGGCATAACCTGTCACCGATCTCGCACCGCGCCCCACAGCGAATGCAGCATCGCAGTACACAACGAGGCCCTTTTCAGCATTGCTCGTGTACTGCAGGCCAAACGCTTGAGTGCTGCCTAGGTAGCGAAACACGTGCTCTACGCATTGCTTCAGACTGTCGGTCGGCGTCTCGATCTCTTGGGCAATGATCCTCACCGCTGTAGCTAGGTCGGGTCTCGTATTGACAGTAGTGCCCCTATCGCTGGACGTGGGCGAAAGCTTGTCACTGGATGTTCCTTGCGGAGCTGATCGCGAAAACGCTCCTCCATAGGAGTGCGCGCGGGCCTTGTGCTGGCCATGTTCAATCGCTCGAGGATCGCTTTTGTGTACTTCTGCTGGCTGATTATCGCTTCGTCTCCACTTGGCGACCACTGCAACTCCAATCCAAGAAAATAGCTGGCATCCTCATAGTCATTCACCTCGTACACTGCCTCCATTGCTGCCTTGAATGAGATAAGTCCTCGTCGTGCGTGGCAAACACTAAAATGTAGTCGACATACACGAGGACGATCATCAAGTCGTCATCATCCATGCTGCCCTTTGAAAACAGGCAGTAGTCAGCTTCTCCTTGATAAAATCCCTGTGACTCCAAGAAAATCCGCCGGTTTTCATACCACGACCTCAACGCTTGCTTCAGTCCGTACAATGCCTTGAGTAGACGCCACACGTGTCCATCAGCACTCTGATAACCTTCAGTCGGTTTCAGATAGATTTCCTCGTCCAGATCTGACTTGAGGAACGCAGTCTTCACATCCAGCTGCATGCGCTTCATGCGCCGCGCCACCACAATCACCAGCACAAGACGGAGAGTACTGTGACGCACGATCTGGCTGAACGTCTCCGTGTAATCTTCACCGTATCTCTGGCTGTAGCCTTTAGCGACAATACGTGCCTTGTATTTGTCCAGGCTCCCGTCAGCAAGTGTCTTCCTGTTGAAAACTCACTTCGACTTGATAGCAGAACGTCCTGGCGGCAACGGCACCACCTCAAACGTCCCGTTTTCAAGGAGACTCTTGATCTTGTCGTACAGGCACGCTCCCACTCGCTTTGATCATCAGACTCGTAGACTTCATTGAGATTGAGTGGCTCCACACGCAGTGCCCAACTTGAGATATCGTTCGGCGTTAATTCTTTGTAAATGAACCCGTCCTGCACGTTCGTACCATCAAAGACGCTTGGCAAAGAACGCTCCTCAACCATCGTACAGACTTCTTCTATCGACAAGTGCGACTCGACGTACTCCAGCTTGCGTTGGCTTGGCCACGGAATTATGCTACACCTACGGACGGGAGCTGTCGCCTTCTCTCGACGTGAGTCTCCTCGCGGTCGTGCTTCCAGACGCGCTGCTCCCAGTGGTTGGATTGTCCTCGAGGTTGGTTGAGCCGGTGTTTCCATCTCGCTGGGTGTTGATGCCTCACTGGGTATCATTGCCACATCCTCCTTTTCTTCTTCGACTGTCTCGAGACGAGCTGAAGGAGTGCTGTTCACCGCATCAAGCCGCAAGAGATCCTGTGGCGAGCTGATGGTTATCTCCTCAGCATCTTCAGAAGAAAGAAATTGATCTTCGTAGAAGACCACGTTACGAGCTGTGACTGTTGCGCCTGTTCCATGACGCGGAATGTAAACCAAGTATGCACCAGCAGTATCATACCCGATGAAAATGCCGTTCCATGTCTTGGGGTCCAGCTTCTTGCGATGCTCTTTTGGCACCAGCACCTGCACCTTGGATGCGAACCCTCGCAAGTTACTGATGTCTGGCGCTTTCCCGAACAAAGCCTCCATTGGAGTCTTCCCGTCAAGCACCTTTGTTGGGCAACGATGGCGCACGTATCCAGCGCACACAACAGCGTCTGCCCCGTACGCAGTTGGCAGGTTGCCCCATTCATCATGGACCGCACCATCTCAACAATCACTCGATTTCCATGCTCGACTTTGCCGTTCTGCTGTGGACGGTATGGAGTTGAGAACTCCAGCCCGATGTCGTTCTTCTCGCAGTAGGCAGCAACCGCATCAGTCGTATATTCTGCCGCATTGTCTGACTTTATGAACGCAACACGATACGTCGGAGCATGCGCCTTTATCTTGGCGATGCAGTCCTTTATAGCATCAAGTTGAGCTTGAGAGTGCTTCTTACGAAGTGGATACACCATGTTCAGATAAAATGGCTCCACAACAATATTCGCCATGCCAGTAAAGCCATCACGCGATGTCACTTGCATTGGCCCCACATAGTCAATCGCAAGCAAAATCTGAGTAAAGCCATCACGCGATGTCACTTGCATTGGCCCCACATAGTCAATCGCAAGCAAAATCTGGTTCTTCTTCAGGACACGCTTGTCTTTCGCAGCGAATGGCTTCTGCGACAGCTTGCCGCTCACACACGTTGGGCATGCCTACTTCACGACGCCTTGCCAGGGTATCTTCAGCTCTCCCAATAGCTGTTGAACACTCTGCACGTTCAAGTGCCCAAGACGGCAATGTCACGTCTCGACGTGAGGAGTTTCGCTGGTCATCATCGCAACGTCTTCGACCGGCTTGCTCACAGCTTCCAGCACATACATGTGGCTGAGTTCTCTTGACGCTTGTATAGTCACCCTATTCGAAGCATGACTGGCACAGCCGACTCGTTTGAACTCCACCGTCATCCCACGACGCGATGCAGCACCAACCGACACAAGGTTGCGAGCAAGTCCCTTCACAAAGAGAACCTACAGACTTCCTTTCCGTGCTTGTACAGCGGTGCTTGGTCCACAGCCGTCGCAACCAAGCTATCACCTGGTGCCACCGTGAGAACTCGAGGCTCCTCCAGCTCATGCACGCAAGTCAAATTGCCCGCATGCCCTGTCATGTGGCTCGTGGCACCGCTGTCCACGATCCATCCACGTCTGCAATCTTCCGCCGCATCATCGACAGAAAATGCCATACTCGCGACCTCGCCGCCCTTGCTCTTTGGTAGCACTTGCTCCTTCGTGCACTCTCGCGCAAAGTGCACCATCTCTTGGCAGTTGTAGCATTTGACCTTGGTCATATCGCGCTTCTTCTTGCCCCCCTTTTGCCAGCCGTTTGCTCAGCAGAGAAAGCTGCGTTCGACTTGCTTCCACTGTTCGTTGAGCGACGATTCGTTTGCTGGTCACGACGAATTGCCTCAGCTTGGTACCGCGTCACCATCGCCTCGAACGTTTGGCACATCTCTAGCACGCCAACGAACCCGTTCCACGCAGGTCCCAAGCTCTGCATGAAGTTCTGCTGCTTCTCCTCGTCCGCCAAAAGCACGCGCTGTTCTTGAAGGTCACCGATCATCCGCTTGGTGGTCTCGATATGCTCCGTCATGGAGTCCCCGTCAGCGAGGTACTGACTCATGTACTCGCTTCCAGGCGCCGACGCTGGCGCTACACTTCACGTTGTAGGTCAGCCGGAGATGGCGCAGCATGGCCAGCGGGTGATCGAACAGGTACACCTCCGCTGTCAGCTTCTCGGTCAGCGCCGACACAATGATGGACGATGCCATCTTCCGCTTCACCAGCTGGTCGTGTAGTGGTAATAACGGAACCACAATCCCGGACGTTCCAGCAACGACTGCCTTGCTGTACAACCTCAGCTTCTCAGTCTCAGCAGCAAGCCCATCAGCCAACGGCACCTCCCTTTCCACGTCAGCCCAAAGTCCCTTGATCTCGAAGTTCAGCTTCGCTTGAGCTCCCCACGCTGGGAACCCAGTTCCGTTAACCTGTTTCAGCTTTGTCATGAACGCCGTGGCCATAGTCGTGGACGTCATAACCTATTGGAAGTTGACTTGGAGGAAGGTGAGTTGCTGTCGAGGTTCTGTTCAAGATGGCGAATTGAAAAGTGATTGCGGGGGCCTACAAAAAATAACTAACAACACTGCATGCACTACCAGGCGCCTCATAGCCACCACGCCAAGCACGCTCCCTTCTCCGCTGGACCCGACGAGCACGGCACGAATCTTCAATGTATCTACTTCAGCTTGCCTTTCACGCTGTCATCTTGCGAAGGCTTAGTCGTCGATGCCCCTGTCATCACAATTCGGTTTACTCACTCGGGTTCGACGCTCCGCTCTGATCTAACAATTACCATCGACGATGCAAATCCGTCGGTATGTTCGAGGTGCTGACCACGCTCATGTTGCTCAAGATTTCCGACGTGACCTCTGTTGTCAAACACTACTAAGTCAGACGCTGTGCAATAGAGCTTTAACGAACTACAGAGACACACGAGGCTCATTCACTTGTGACGCTGCATTAGCCATAAGTCATAGTTAACACTCAATATACAGCGATTCATGTACCAAGCCAACTTGATGCCAAGCTAGACATTGTAAACTATCCACATCAAGAACAATGAATAAAAACAATCAAAATGTTGTAGCGAAAGCGCTAGAGGAAAGGGAACACCAACATCCACATTCAATTAAAACACCATGTAGAATGAGAAATAGATCAATATGACCTCAATGTTGTGCAAGTTCTTGTCTCTCATGTGGTGGCAGCTCAATATCTCAACTAGGCATAGTACGGATCTGGGAGATCCCAACTGTGAGGACGCGATAGTTCGTCTTTCGACGGTACTGTTGAGTCGACGAGTCGACGACCGAGACGTTGAGGCCCGTAGGGAAGTGGTAGGTTGAGACTGCTCTAAACCTTCTGCACGCTCCCCATTCTCCACTCTGCCGCTTGATGGACGGACGTAATGGCGTTGTGCAACGTTCTGGTTGAACTCCGCAGTGACGGGAGAATCCAGTCGATGTCGCCGTCTTTGAGTGAAGTTAAGAAGCGTCTGGGCATTGCGGTCGAACATGGAAACGCTGAGCCCAAGTCAACGTTCATCTTTGCATCGGGGCAGAACTTCGAATCATCAT